ATGAAAAAGTGAAGTTTTCTAAAATGCAGGCGCGGATCCAGGATTTTCCAATGGGGGGGCCGGAAGTTTGAAAATTGCGCCGACCGTTTTTTTCAAGGTCTTATTAGAAGCACCATACCATTACAATTTTTGACATTTTCATCGGGGGGGGGGGGCTATAGCCTCTTATCCGAAAAAGTAACTTTCTGGTTTCACAATTCGGCTAGTGAGCGAAGCGAGCGAGCAACAATTTGAGCAAAATATGTATTTTGTGAAAGTGTTATTTATAACCAAAATAAACGAGAAAAGATATCAAAAAATCATATGCGGGTAGCTCGCTAACCCCCCCCCCCCCCCCCCCAATGACGCGCGAAGCGTGGAAGCTTTGACCTTTCATTAATTATTAGAGAAAGAAGACGATTTGTTGTACCATTCTCGACTCTTAATCCTTCTCTGAATTCAGTTTCCCCCCTCCCGCGCAAAGCGCGGAAGCTTTGACATTTTATAGTTTAATGAAATTATTAGAGAAAAAGATGATTCGTTGTTCCATTCTCGACTCTTAATCCTTTTCTGAATTTAGTTTACCCCCTCCCGCGCAAAGCGCAGAAGCTTTGACGTTTAATTAAATTATAAGGAAAAGGGGACGATTCTTTGTACCATTCTCGACTCTGAATCCTTGTCTGAATTGAGTTCCCGTCCCCCCCCCCCCCCCTCCCGCGCGTAGCAAGGAAGCTTTGACGTTTAATTAAATTATAAGGAAAAGGGGACGATTCTTTGTACCATTCTCGACTCTGAATCCTTGTCTGAATTGAGTTCCCGTCCCCCCCCCCTCCCGCGCGTAGCAAGGAAGCTTTGACGTTTAATTAAATTATAAGGAAAAGGGGACGATTCTTTGTACCATTCTCGACTCTTAATCCTTGTCTGAATTGAGTTCCCGTCCCCCCCCCCCCCCCCCCCTCCCGCGCGTAGCGCGGAAGCTTTGACGTTTAATTAAATTATAAGGAAAAGGGGACGATTCTTTGTACCATTCTCGACTCTTAATCCTTGTCTGAATTGAGTTCCCGTCCCCCCCCCCCCCCCCTCCCGCGCGTAGCGCGGAAGCTTTGACGTTTAATTAAATTAAAAGGAAAAGGGGACGATTCTTTGTACCATTCTCGACTCTTAATCCTTGTCTGAATTGAGTTCCCGTCCCCCCACCCTTCCGCGCGTAGCGCGGAAGCTTTGACGTTTAATTAAATTATAAGGAAAAGGGGACGATTCTTTGTACCATTCTCGACTCTTCCTTGTCTGAATTAGGTTTTCCCTTGCCCGTGTGATGCGCGTAAGCTTTGACGGTTCATTAAATTATTAGAGGAAGAAGACGAATCGTTTTACCATTCTCGTCTCTTAATCCTTCTTTGAATTCAGTTTTCCCCCTCCCACGCGAAGCGCGGAAACTTTGACGTTTCATTAAAATTATTAGAGAAAGAAGATGATTCGTTGCACCGTCATCGACTCTTTATCCTTATCTGAATTGAGTCCCCCCCCCCCCCCCCTTCTCGCGCGAAGCGCGGAAGCTTTGACGTTTCATTAGATTATTAGAGAAATTAGAAGACGATTCTTTGTACCGTTCTCGACTCTTAATCCTTGTCTGAATTGAGTTCCCGCCCCCCCCCCCCTCCTCCCGAGCGAAGCGCGGAAACGTTGACGTTTCATTAAATTATTAGAGAAAGAAGATGATTCGTTTTACCATTCTCGACTCCCAATCCTTGTCTGAATTCAGTCGCCCCCCTCCCGAGCGATGCGCGGAAGCTTCGACATTTCATTAAATTATTGGAGAAAGAAGACGATTCGTTGTACCGTTCTCTATTACACCTACCATGGATAAATCACGGCCGGGAGCGTCATAATTTTGTGTTATCGGGCGAGGGCCGGGGCCGGGGCGTAGCGACCAAGCAGGATTTTGCAATGTTGAATGCTGAAATTATGCATTCTAAAAAATCCCTAAGTCCGATATGTACGTTCTTTCCGCTATATTTATTTCTAGCTATATTTCTAAATTTCCTGGAAGACTTGTCCCCATATCGGGCCCAGGATCGCCGCCCCTGTCCATGATTACTACCAACATGAGTTCTAATACAATCACAAGCGAGTCGATACGAGCTGAATCCAAATGAAGGGCAAAATAAGAGTTGTGAAGCGGCCCTACCGTTAATTTAAAATTTGACTGTTGAGTATATAACTTCTATTTAAAAGACATCCAAAATATTGTGCCCTTTTCAAATTTCTCACTAAAGAGTGATGACCGCAGGGGCTGTTCTTAACGTTTAACTTTGAATCCGCGGCTCGAGATTTTATGCGGCCGGCCGGCGGCCCGGCCCCCCTCTATTCAATAACGTTTGCCAATGAGCCTTCTGGAATGTCCCCTAATCTCCCGATTACAGTTTTCCCATATTTGTCGTTACTGTCACTTAGCGCCATTTCCTTGCCTTTCCCCCTTTCTCACCAACTTTTCTTCCCCCCCCCCCCCCACACCCTCTCAGTGTTATCTAGGGTACGCACATGTATGTTCCCTCTCTTTGAAAGCACCCCTCTGTCTCCGGTGTGTAAAGTCAGTACGGGCCGGATTTTCGTGTATTGCGGGCCGGACTTTGTTTCGTGAAAAGTAACTCTTTATCGGAAATTTAGGGAACACAAATTCGGTCCCTCCGACCCCGGAGTTGGAGGGAGGGGGCCTTTTATTTATCTTTTCTCTTCTATTTTCTTTTCTCTTCTTTTTTCCTTTCTCTTCTCCTTTCTTTTCTCTTCTCCTTTTTTTCTCCTCTTCTCCTTTCTTTTTTTCTCTTCTTTTCTTCCTCTTTTTTTCTTCCTTTTTTTTGCGCCGCCAATAGGGGGGGCCGCGGCCGTTTCGGCCCCCCCCCCCCTGGATCCGCCACTGAAATGTGCGTTTCTTTCCAGCATTGGGGCGCCCAGAAGCCCATGAGGTAACATTTCATAAAGTATAATATAAAAAGACCATATGCAAATTTTCTGTACTTTTGCCGGAAAAAATACATTTATCCAGCACAATGTCGTCTCTTTTTGCGTTGGAGAAGAGAAAATAGCGAGTTTCAATCACACTTTGGCCGATCTCGCAAGCTCTCACTCGTTTCACTGTGGTCAAGAGACTTTGGGGCAAGCGGTTAATGAAAAAACTAATCGTTAGCTTTCTTCTGGTATCAAACTTATTTTGATTGATTGTATAATTTTGTCGGAATAAAGGAAACAAAAATGCTCGACCAACAACTCATCAGCGTCTGAATTGACCTTTTGACCTTGAATTCCCTGATGCAAGCGCACTAATGACGTGATCAGTAAATCGGTGTCTTTTATCGTAAAATGCGACACTTTCACAATGTTTATACATCTTTTTTTAATTATTAGTAAGATATAACATATTTTTTCTGATATCACTGAAGTTTTGGGTTTCATTTAATGAGTAATTTTGAAATAAGAGCCATTTTATTGTTTTAATTTACTGGATCGTACCATTAAAGTTGCAGGGTAGAAAGATGCATTTTCCAACCGCGCCAAATTTAATTTACGTTCCGACATTATGTTAAATGGGTTCGTGTTGTTAAGAATCCACTGATTTCTGCTCCAACAAACGTCCACATGCGGAGTCGTTTATCAACTAAATTATTCAAATTTATGGATGCTTCCTAGCTTCCCAGGTGTTTGTGTTGCTGTTGAAGCATTTCATCCACCTGCTATCATTCTTTGTACTCCAATTGCCAGAACGCAAATTTCATTTTGGTTTTATAGTTTCATCGGAGTCGTTTATCATATATATGTATTCAAATTTATGAATGCTTCCTCCCCAGGTGTTTGTGGTGTTTATGCATTTCATTCACCTGTTATTATTCTTTGTACTCCCATTGTCAGAATACAAAATGCATTTTGGTTATATAGTTTCATGCAATAAGTAAGTCAATAAAAGAGTATGTTCTGCACAATAAAAACAATGTAATGTGTCCCCTCATTTTGTAATAGTTAATTTACCCATTCACATAATGGAACTACCTGCCCGATGAAGCCATTGGCCTGTGACCCCTGAGCACTCAACTTAGTCAGTTCGTGCTCATATTCTTTTATGAGAATACAAGCAAACGTTTCCATATGGGGGGGGGGGGCAAGGCCCGCTCGGCCCCCCCCCCCCCCCCCCCCCCCCCCTGGATCCGCGCCCGAATCGCCAGGCTAAAAACCTGTATTGATCTACGTACAGCCAGCTCCGAAACTCTATGACGGGCTCCAATCCTCTGCGAAGTATCATAATAATCATAGAGATGATGAAAAAAAGGAAAAGAAAGTGACGATGAGTTGTAATTGATGTTATATAAATGTGCTGTAGTTGATGTTATATAAATTACGAGTGTTCTGAGATAAATTTAGTACAGAAATGCCCCTAAAGTAGTTGGAATCGCCATGCTTAAAACCTGTTTTGACACTGTACGTACAGCTAAAGCGGGCTCCAAAACTCTATGACGGGCTCCAATCCTCTGCGAAGTATTAAAATAATCATAGAAAATGATTCAAAAAGGAAAAGAAAGTGACGATTTGGTGAAACTGATGTTATATGTGTTGTGAGAAAAATGGGTACAGGGCCCTAAAATACTTCAAATCGCCAGGCTTGAAACTTTAATTGATCAACACAGCTTTAATAGTGGGCTTCTGATTATGATCATATCGGGTTCTACTAGTAATCATGATTCGATTTCTATAATATGAAAGGAAAAGAAAGAAATGATTTGATGTTAATTCATGTAAGCCTATATAGGCCTACGGTTTCGAAAGAGAGAGAGAGAGAGAGAGAGAGAGGGAGGGAGGGAGGGAGGGAGGGAGGGAGGGAGGGAGGGAGGGAGGGAGGGAGGGAGAGAGAGAGAGAGAGAGAGAGAGAGAGAGAGAGAGAGAGAGAGAGAGAGAGAGAGAGAGAGAGAGAGAGAGAGGGGGGAGGCGGGGGGCTGGGCCTGGGGGAGAGTGTAGCCTACGCACGTACGTCGCCACTCGCCAGTCGTCTTCCAAACCAGCATGGAGGACTCGAGGCTTCGAGAGGGGAGAGTATGTACGTGTAGCCTACGTACGTCGCCACTCGCCAGTCGTCTTCCAAACCAGCATGGAGGACTCGAGGCTTCGAGTTGGATGGATGATGTCTGGACCCCAATTTCGGATTCAAGGGAGACAGGTTGGGTTCACTCTTTTGCCGATATTGGGAATAAGAAAAGCTCAAATTTTGGGCTTCATGATCATGATGATGCAGCTGGCGTAGCGCCGGTACTCTGCCACGCGGTACCGTACCTGCTGCTCATGACACATCGCAGCCGCAGGCAACGCTGCATGACTGAAGATGAAGGAAGCAACATAGGTCTACTAGATCTAGGCTAGGTCTAGTCATCAAAGAAGCTGCGATCCATCCCAAACTCGGCTCGGCCTCCAAATGGAAAGGATTCCGATGGTAAGTGTCAACATGCTGCAATGAAGGGCTAGTTACTGTACTTAGATCTAGAAGAACTCACCCTATTTATTTAGTACTAGTCACTAGATCTACTAGGTCTAGACTAGTACTGGTACTAGGCCAGTAGGCCTAGACTAGATCTAACAGTTACTAGTTAACTGGTAAAAGTATCAGGCCTGCTAGTAGTACTAGTACTAGTAGTAAGTTCTAGTAGTTAGTATACATATGCCGGCCACATGGTACTAGTAGTACCTACTTTAGGCTATAGCCTATAGGTCTAGATCTAGTGTAAGCTAGTGTAGACCCTAGTACTAATTCTAGATCTAGTACTAGTTCTTAGAAAAGAGCGGGTGCGTCAGAAGCAGTTAGAGATGGGGGGGGGGGGGGGGGTGGACAGTTCAGGAGGATCATCTTTCAGGGGCAGTGGTGTTTGGGAGGCAGAAGAAAATGTCACCACCACTCTGACTCTTACAATGTAACATATGCATTGATGCATGCCCTGCAGAGTATTATTTAACCATCAGGTACTAGACCTACTGTGGATAGCAAAGCATAAATTGGCGTGGGTTCCAGGGGGTCAAGGGGTGGAGCCCCCAGAAGAAACTGAGGGGGTTTAGCAGTAAATTACAGTCAGATAAGCATATTAAGATACCTTATTTTTGTCACTGGCAGGTCACTAGTAATTGGCTAGGGGTGCGGGGCGCTGAGCCCCATGAAGCTCATGGTTTTTCTGGCATTTAATTATGGTTGGAACATTCACTAGTAATTGGCTAGGGGTGCGGGGCGCTGAGCCCCATGAAGCTCATGGTTTTTCTGGCATTTAATTATGGTCGGAACATTCACTGATTCAAGAGCCCGTCTAAGGGGCCCCTGATGGGAACCAGGGGGCGGAGCGGGCCCCGGAAGCTCGGGGGTTACAGGCCTTAAATTAAGGTCAGATGAGCATATTTGATCCTTTATTTGTGCCATTGGCACGTAGCTAAAAATGGCGGGTGGTCAAGGAGGCTGAGTCCCCTGAAGCTCAGGTCAGGGGTTTTAGGCATTTTTTTAAAGTCAGATGAGTATCAAGGGTCCTGCCTTAGGGGCTGTAGGGCTCTTGATGGGGTCGAGGGGGCAGAGCTCCCAGGAAGCTCATGGGTTTTAGATATTTAATTTTGGTCAGATGAGCATATTTTGATACCTGATTTGTGACACTGGCAGGTAATTAATTTCTTTCTTTCTCTTTCTTTCTTTTTCTCTTAAACATAATTTTTTTTAAGTGGGGAAAGGGGGGGGGGGGGGGGGGCTCGAGCCCCCAAGCCCCACCGTTCTGCAGGCCCTGACATGAAGGCTCTGACATGAAGGCTTTCAAATATGCTTTTTTTTTTGCTTGACTATAAATTTGGAAATTTTTGATTTTCCAACAAACGCATACCATGGTACCAAAGTAAAAACTAGAAATGCAATCGTGTCACAACGATGTGCGTGCAATGACGCCATGTTTCTACGTGTCAAACGAAAGAGCTTCTCTCGGACTATCCAGAGCAATTTGTACGAAGTCTGTAGCTTCTGTGATATTGGAGATAGGTATATAGGGCGAAAGAAAGGCCTCAACAGTGACCTTTGATGGGATGGTAGTGACTACGCCTACGAAGTTTGAAAGAAATTGGGATAGAGGAAAGAACCTAGGAAAGGCTCGCAAGCACTGCGTGCAAAAAACCAATGGGATTTAGTGCATGTTCGTCATTGTAATAAAGATGGTTCCGGGGGCAAAAAGCGTGAATCTGATATGCACCATAGACAATGCGTGTAATGCATGGGCAGAAAACGTACAGGATCTGCAGGCCTCGAATTACATCAAATTTGGGTCAAGGCCACTTTTTTGAGAGGGCACAAATCCACTGAAAGGGGCACAAATCTATATCCTAAGGGGCACTAAGGCCAAAGTGGAAATTGTGCGTAAAATCACCTCACGCCGTTTTAATGGGGGGGGGGGGGTGCGATTTGCACCCCCCCAAAAAAAAATGCTCACTAGCCCCCCCCCCACCCCCCCCCCCCCCCCCCCCAACTGAGCGCAATATCGGCCGGGCGCGATTTTCAAATTTTCGGGAGCAAAAAAAAATAGTGCTCACTACCCCCCCCCCTATTAACAGGCAGGCTGTTTCGCTGCTAAATAGTCTCCCACTGGGCCCCCTCTTTGGTCCCCTCCCCTGCCGCCGGCTGGATCCGCGCTTGGGATGGGTGGAGGGAGTGGGGAGTTTCCCTCTATGACGTTTCATTGAATTATTAGAGAAAGAAGACGATTCGATACCGTTCTCGACTCTATCCTTTCCTGAATTCCACGGGAAGCGCGGAAGCTTGTATTTTTAAAATAAATTATTAGATACAGAAGAAGATTCGTTGTACCGTTCTCAACGATTAATCCTTTTTTTAAATCAATTCCCACCCCTCCCGCGCGAAGCGCGGAAGCTATAACGTTTTAATTAAAACGTATGTGAAAGAAGACGATTCGATGTACCATTATCTCAACTCTTAATTGTTTTCTGATTTAATTCCCGACCCTCCTCCCGAGGAAAATTCAAGTTTTTCACTGATTAAAAACTCTGAAAACGCACCAAAAAAGGTCACAACGCGAAGTAAAGATGTTGAACTAACGATAGGTAAAAAAAAAATCCCCGATATTGATTGGTCCAAGTAAAAAGGATGGAGATGGATTGAAAAACTAAGCCCGAGTCATTACGGTTTTTGTGCCAAACGTTTCAGTCATTTCGATGAAGATATGCTTTCATATCTCCGTATCGGCAATGAAGTCCCGCCAATAGTTATTAATTTAGGAGTTCCATGGTGGCAATGAAGTCTCGCCGATAATTATTGTTTTTAGATCTCCGTAGGGGCAACAAAGTCTTGCCGATTATTATGGTTTAAGATCTCCGTAGGGGCAACAAAGTCTTGCCGATAATTATTGTTTTAAGAGCTTCGTAGGGGCAACAAAACCTTGCCGATAATTATTGTTTTAGAGCTCCGTACGGGCAACAAAACTTTGCCCATTATTATCGTTTCTAGAGCTCCATAGGGGCAATAAAACCTTGCCGATTATTATCGTTTTTAGAGCTCCGTAGGGGCAACAAAACCTTGCACATAATTATTTTTTAGAGCTCCGTAGGGGCAACAAAACCTTGTCGATAATTATTGTTTTTAGAGCTCCGTAGGTGCAACAAAACCCTTGCCGAGTATTATTGTTTTTAGAGCTCCGTAGGGGCAACAAAACCTTGTCGGTAATTATTGTTTTTAGACCTCCGTAGAGGCAACAAGACCTTGCCGATCATTAATGTTTTTAGAGCTCCGTAGGGGCAACAAAACCTTGCCGATTATTATAGTTTTTAGAGCTCCGTAGGGGCAACAAAATCCTGCCGATTATTATCATTTTTCGAGCTCCGTAGGGGCAACAAAACCTTGCCGATTATTACCGTTTTAAGATCTACGTAGGGACAACACAACCCTGCCGATTATCATCGTTTTTAGAGCTCCGTAGGGGCAACAAAACCTTGCCGATTATTATTGTTTTAGAGCTCCGTAGGGGCAACAAAACCCTTGCCGATTATTATTGATTTTAGAGCTCCGTAGGGCCACAAAACCTTGCCGAATATTATCATTTTTAGAGCTCCGTATGTGGCAACAAAACCTTGTCGATAATTATTGTTTTTAGAGCTCTGTAGGGGCAACAAAACCCTTGCCGATTATTATTGTTTTTAGAGCTCCGTAGAGGCAAAAAAAAACCTTGCCGATAATTATTGTTTCATAGCTCCGTAGGGGCAACAAAACCTTGCCAATTATTATCGTTTTTAGAGCTCCGTAGGGGCAACAAAACCTTGCCCATAATTATTGTTTTTAGAGCTCCGTAGGGGCAACAATACCTTGTCGACAATTATTGTTTTTAAAGCTCCGTAGGGGCAACGAAACCTTGCCAATTATTATCATTTTTAGACCTCCGTAGGGGCAACAAAACCTTGTCCATTATCATTTTTAGAGCTCCGTAGGGGCAACGAAACCTTGCCAATTATTATCACTTTTAGACCTCCGTAGTGGCAACAAAACCTTGTCGATAACTATTGTTTTTAGAGCTCCGTACAGGCAACAAAACCTTGCCCATAATTATTATTTAAGAGCTTCGTAGGGGCAACAAAACCTTGCCGATTATTATCATTTTTAGAGCTCCGTAGGGGCAACAAAACCTTGTCGATAATTATTGTTTTTAGAGCTCCGTAGGGGCAACAAAACCTTGCCCATTATTATCGTTTTTAGAGCTCCGTAGGGGCAACAAAACCTTGTCCATTATTATCATTTTTAGAGCTCCGTACGGGCAACGAAACCTTGCCGATAACTATTGTTTTTAGAGCTCCGTAGAGGCAACAAAACCTTGTCCGTTATTATCATTTTTAGATCTCCGTAGGTGCAACAAAACGTTGTCAATAACTATCGTTTTTAGAGCTTCGTAGGGGCAACAAAACCTTGCCGATTATTATCATTTTTAGAGCTCCGTAGGGGCAACAAAACCTTGTCGATTATTATCGTTTTTAGAGCTCCGTAGGGGCAACAAAACCCTGCCGATTATTATCGTTTTTAGAGCTCCGTAGGGGCAACAAAACCTTGCACATAATTATTTTTTAGAGCTCCGTAGGGGCAACAAAACCTTGTCGATAATTATTGTTTTTAGAGCTCCGTAGGGGCAACAAAACCCTTGCCGAGTATTATTGTTTTTAGAGCTCCGTAGGGCAACAAAACCTTGCCGATTATTATCATTTTTAGAGCTCCGTAGGTGGCAACAAAACCTTGTCGATAATTGATGTTTTTAGAGCTCCGAACGGGCAACAAAACCTTGTCGATTATTATTGTTTTTAGAGCTCCGTAGGGGCAACAAAACCCTTGCCGATTATTATTGTTTTTAGATCTCCGTAGGGGCAACAAAACCTTGTCGATAATTATTGTTTTTAGACCTCCGTAGAGGCAACAAGACCTTGCCG